GCAGACGGTCGCACCTACACTCAGCGGCAGCCTCGCCCCCACCCCCGACCACAGAGCTTGCGCACAGCGAGGAGGCCCGCCCCGCCCCGAGGCCCGCCAATCACGACCCAAGGCTGTACGCCTGCGCATTAGCTGCCCGCTGCCCCAATCATCCTCTCTTAAAGCGCCGGGATCCACTTTACCATAACAAAAGGGCTTTGACACCCAATCAGGATTAAGGTTTTGGGGGCGGGTCCGGAGGAGCAACAGCCAATAAAAGCACAGGAGCGAAGCTCGGTCGGCGTGAGAAAGCTGATTCTCACCTAGAGGTTCTGGTGTTGTCCAAGAGCCTGAAAATTGGTGGCGAATCTACGTGGAAAATCCTGACTGCCGTCTAGGAGGTTGTTGGTATATGCTGGACGAGAGAGAAAACGTTCAAATTCAAGAATGGAGCATTAGCAGATAGATCAGGGAAGGCAAACTGGTGCAATACCGTGGTCTCTCGATCGTAAAAGCAGACTTTTCCATATTTTTACATTTCCCAAGCTCATCGTGTAGCGCTAATAGAAAATTTCTCTCGGTATTCCTCAAAGTATTACTAAATCTGAACTCCTGACCACTGAATGACATTTTGGAATCAAGAAAATGCTGCCATAGTACTTTGCATGGCCCTTTCTTGCACCTTATCCCACTTGATTTTCACAGCATCCCACAGAAAAACTTGAGGCTTAATAGCAAATACATTTTGGTTCAAAGTTATTCATGCACTGCGAAGTGCTATGTGCCAGCTTTAAGGTGTGATGTAATCTCCACGACAGCGTTCATTGTGATAAAACACTGAAAACGCAGCATCCTGCTGGTTTTGATATTCATGGAGCACGGGCTGCACATCCACGCTGTAGGTAGCTGTGAGCTGTAGGTATACCCTTTTCTTGGCTTTTGACTTTGGGCAGAGACTGCTGACACATAGCCCTAATTCTTTTGTGGACTGCATTTTTTAACATCCTCAAGTTGGCTGGGACTACAGTACACAATCTGAGAACATTTACTAGAATGAGATGCAGGAGCTAAATAGATGGAGGGGGAAAAAATCCAACATAAATCTAATAGCTCTGCCATAAAGAGCCGAGAGAATGGGTGTAACGGATGTACACAGCACTCAAAGAGGAATGACTACGAGTTTTCCAAAGTTATGAAATAGTTGGGTCCTCCAATTCGCGAAGTCCTTTTTTCATATTACCCACCACCATCCTGGGGCTAAAGCCCAGGGCCTGGCAAATGTTAGCCGTGCATCCCACTCTGATCTGCAAACCTCAGCCCAAGAAGCACTTATTTTTGCGCAAGACTAATGTGAAGAAACTACTGCAGAACTCTAAAGACCAAGAAAAATCATTACAAGCAAAATTTTTGCTAGAACTTTAAAAAAATAAAACTATTTTAGTTGGGTAAATGCATGTAACATGAAATTTATCATCGTAATCATTTTTAGGCTCAATGCTATTCCGTGTATTAACATTGTTGCACTGCCAACCTGCAGGTCTCTTTGCATCTTCGCAAACTGAAACTCTGTTCCTACGTAACAAGCCCCTGCTTCGCTCTCCCTACAGCCCCTGGCAACCTCTATTCTACTTTCTTTACTAGTTTGGCTACTCTAGGTACCTAATATAGGTGGAAACATTATCTTCAGTGTTCATGCGTGTGGCGGCATGTTGCAGAATGTCTCTTTAAAGGCTGAACAATCACATTTTCTTATCCATTTATCTGTGCACAGACACTGATTTCTTTTACCTTTTGGCTACGCCGAATAGTGCCGCTATGAACGTGGATGTGCACCTCTTCCAAATTCTGTTTTCAGTTCTCCAGGTATATACTCAGAAGTGGAATTACTGGATCATATGTTAATTATGGCACTTTTTTGTCATGAGTGTACAAAACGAAACTTAGAAAGAAGAATCCCTAGAAGTTGGTTTATAATAAAGATGTGTCATAGAGAATAAGTGTTTGATAAGGCAGTGGCAGATAACTATTATTCCTTAAAATCAGGAGTGTCAGTTAGTACCATAACTGTTATTTAGTTATGGACAGCACAAATTATGTTGCTTCCAGTTAAATTGTTTATTTGGGTATAAATATAAAATTAGATCCCGATCTCACACCACAAACTAAATTCCCAATAAAGTGATGATTTAAATGTGAAGAAACTTTTAGAAGAAAACTGATGCCTTTATGATGACACCATAGAAGAGAATCGGTTAAGCCAGACACCAAAGCGCCAGGCATTAGGAAAATTTTAAATTTTTATTATTTAAAAAAGGAAAAATGCATAAACAGAAGAAAAGCCATCATGAATCAAAATTTAAAAGTAACCCACAGGATGGCAGAATATAGTAAGACTCTGAAATAATAAAAAATTCTGACAAATCAGTAAGAAAAAGACAACTCAAAATAGATATATGCCAATAGCATAAATAGGCAACTCACTGAAAAGGAAACTGATTGGCTAGAAATGTTTTGTTTTTTAAAAAATGTTTACTTCCACTAGAAGTCAGGCAAATTCATATTAAAAAAATTAAAAAGGAGCAAGTAGGTGCAAATCAATAAAGCAAGAATTGCTAAATTGAAATAACTAACCCACAACTATAATTAGATAATTCATCACTTCCTGCTCTGTAATTTGAAAAGTAGACAGAAAATTGGTAAGGCTGCAGCAGACCACAGGTTCCAAACTTGCCTATACATTAGAATCACTGGGGCATCGCTTAATAGTTCCAGTGAATTGTCTACACCCCTAATTACATCACAACCTGTACAAGTGGAATCGAGGCCTTAGTATCTTTGGAAGCTAAGATGGTGATTTCAACAAAGGGCTGGCAAACTTCTAAAAGAAGTGTAGAAGACCTGAACAAACCTATCAGCCACAGACCTAAGTTGGCATTTATAGAATATTCTACCCAGTAAATGAGGAATGCTCTTTTCACATGTACATGGTACAGTCACCAAAAGGGACTCATATCACATGACAAACCTCAACAAGTTTAAAATAATTAAACTCAAATTATTTTTTCTACCCACAAGGGAGCTAACTTGAAATCAATAACAGAAAAAAATATTTGTAAATCCCCAAGAATCTGGATACTAAATTATGTACTTCTAACAAACCATGAGTCACAAGGAACATCACAAGAGAAACCTTTAACTAAATAAAAAGGTGTATGAACTAGTGCTTAGAAGGATTTATTTTCCTACTAAATGTTTATATGAGAAAATAAGGGAGGTTTGAAATCAAGAGTCTGTTTGCTTTAAGGTGTTAGAAAAAAGAGCAGGCTAAACTCAACACAAGGAGATAGAAGAAAATAATACGAAAAGTTGGTTCTTTTAAAGGAAAAATAAAAGTTAAAACTCCATGCAAGGTCATCCAGAAAAATGTGTGAAAGAGGATACCACAAATGACCCCTATATGAAAGCAAGGCAGGCAGGCAGAGGATTTAGCTCAGTGTTGCCACCGCCTGCCTCGCTAGCACAAGGGCCTGAGATCAATCTCCCGGGCACCACAAAAAAAAAAAAAAAAAAAAAAAAAAGAGAGAGAGAGAGAGAAAGAAAGAAAAAGAAGAGCAAGGATGTCACTGTAGATCCTATAGACATTAAAGGCTAATATGGGGATTTTATGAACAACCTTAGGAGAGTAAATTTGGTAACTCAGATAAAAGACAGCTCCTTCAAATGAAAGAACATAGAAAGCTCACTCAAGAAGAACGGAAAACGTGAACAGCTCTATATTTTAAACTACCGTTATTAGTACATTAGCGTGATAGCTGATGGTGTCAACTTGAGAAGTCCAGTTAAAAGAAGCTTAACTAAATCAACTCAGCAATTCCTTAAGGGCTTTGCAGCCTGGATGATGCAAAGGGGAAATGAGCAAGGACAGATCCGCTTCTGTCTGCTCAGAGGACCTGTGATCTCCGCCTTTACCTTCACTTACATCCTGGCTTCCAGCGCAGATTCTTTGGCTTCCGGTGCAGATCCTTCAGCCTTCCGGTGTAGACTTCAGCCTCCCACTGGACATCCGTCGGCCTCCTGATACGTACTTGCACAGGACACTGCAGTGAGCTCCAGACTTCCACTACATCCTTTGGTCTCCGGTGTGCAGACAGACGCTCGGCACTCTTCCTCATTCAACTTTGTGGATGTCCATTGTGAGGCAGTCTTGTAAATTCATATCTACTTGTATGTCCTGTGTTATATCTGTTTCTGTAGTAAATACTGACTGATACATTAACCTTCCAGCTGTCTTTAGTAGGTTAAGCCTTCAGATGGCATAACTGGTAAATTCTTCCAAATATTTTATTTTATTTTATTTTAATTTAAATTTTATTGAGTTTATTGGTACATTTTAGGGATACAGTACAGTTAACATTCATTGTTGGGATCATGTACCTTTACATGGCAAGTCTTGATTCTCATTTTTTTTCCCTTACCTCTGCCCTCCCTTCACCCCCTCCTCCCCTCCCCATCTACAAACACTTTATTTTCCTCTTTTCATTCTCTCACATTTTTTTTTCTTTTTTTTCTTTTTTTTTCTTTTCCCTTTTTGCCAAATATTTTAATAATACCATTTCTATAAAAGCTGTCCCCCCAAAACATAAAATAGGAGAGAACATTTCCAAATTCACTTTATGAGGCCAGCCTTTCCCTGATATGGAAACTAAGTAAATGGCATTAAAAGATACAAAACTGAAATAGAACATAGACACAAAACTCCTTAACAAATCACTAGGAAATCCAAACATTGTCCCATGGCAGAGAGCCTGGGGCATTGTGATTTGACTTCATGAGTTTCACTTCTCTCAGACATTATAGTCTAAAACCCTAACCGCTAAAAATTCATAGGGAAATACAAAGGATCTAGGATGGTCAGAACAATTTATGAAAGAACAAAAAAGATTCACACTAAGTTATTTCAAATCTTACTATTAAGCTAAAGCAATATAAATCAATGAGGATACTAGTATAAAGACAGACATATAGATAAATGAAACAGAATAGGATCAAGAATAAACCCACCTATGTACCCATATATGGTCAATTGGGAAAAGATGGATTTTCTTTCCAAGAAATGGTTCTTGAAAAATTGGTTATCACTATGGGTGGGAGAATGTACCTCAATTCCTACTTCACAGTGTACACCAAAACATTAATTCAAAATGGGGCATAGTCCAAAATAAAAGCTACAGTTACAAGTATTCTAGATAACAGACATATCTTCATCCCTTTGGAGTTGGCAAAATGTATTTGAGAGATCTCTCTCTCTCTCTCTCTCTCTCACACACACACACACACACACAAAACAATGACTATAAAAGGAAAAACTTAAATGGACTTTGTAAAACTTAAAATTTTCTGCTCTTCAAAAGATAG